CTTTTTTCCAGTGCTTTACAGTGTAGTTTTTTATGACCATTTCTCCTGGAACTTATTTTTATGCATTATTTAAGGATGAGAAAAAACTGGTTTCCCAATTAATAGTTATCCAGCATCATTAATTGATCAGTGCATTATTTAATGACATGATATACCAATTTTGTCCTGTATATGCATATTTGATCAAATGCTACTTTGGCAGAATTAATTATAATATACACAATATTATAATATATATGTAAAATATATGTACACAGACACCCCCACTTACACAGTTCACACAGATCTGAACTGCTTGGGTCCACTTGCATGCAGACTTTTAAAATAAAATAGTACAGTACTGTAAATGTGTTTTCTCTTCCTTATGATTTTAACAACATTTTCTTTTCTCTAGTTTACTTTATCATCAGATATAGTATGTAATATGCATGATATGCAAAATATGTGTTAATTTGATGTTTATGTTATTGGTAAGGCATCTGGTCAACAGTAGGCTATTAGTGGTTAGGTTTTGGGAGAGTCAGAAGTTGTAAGAAGGTTTTTGACTGTGTGTGGGGTTAGGGCCCCAACTCTCACCTTGTTCAAGGGCCAACTGTATATTTACATACATTTCCTCCCTTCTAGCTTCTAAGTACTCTTGTGAGCTCTCATCCAACAGAAGCTGGTATGTAGTGTGATGGGCTACATAAAATAGTTCTTTTTTTAAAAAAAATATTTTATTTATTTGTTCGTGAGAGACACAGAGAGAGAGGCAGAGACACAGGCAGAGGAAGAAGCAGGCTCCATGCAGGGAGCCTGACATGGGACTCGATCCCAGGTCTCCAGGATCACACCCTGGGCCAAAGGTGGCTCTAAATCACTGAGCCACCTGGGCTACCCAATAGTTCTTGACCAATAAGCATAAGTACACTATAGCTTTCAGCTACAGAATCTGTTACTTTGCTAACCATGGGGTGAATATATTCTGCAGTGTAAGTTATTTATTACTCTATGGCCTCTCTTTCATTTATTTTTCATTCGGAGAACAGTTCGTCCAAAATGACTGGTTAAATGTGTGGAAATAACATTGGATATACTCCATATACACAAGTAATAGTGTTAAAATGGTACTTTAAGAGGAAGTTTTGAAGAGGCTGGAGGTACTTTCCAGGATTGAAGCAAGTAAGCAAAAACTTAAGATCATCAAGAAGATAGATATTGATAAGTGTCAACTTACATTAAGGAGCCTATTATAAGCATCACTTATCATTTGGTTTGACCAACAATTATATGAAGATACCTAAGGAAAAAAATTATGGCAGGAGTCTCATCCCCATTTCAGAGAATCTGAGTAGATTGCAGGAGTAGTTGCCAAGGCAGGATATCAGGAAAGCATCTCCACAGAGACTTTGTAATAGTGATTCTCCTAGAGAATTGATTCAGTTATGCTTCTTTTTCCAGTAACACAATCCCTCCATTAAATAGGGTATGGGTATACTCAATTCCGGTAAGTATACGTAGGTCTGTTTCAGGAATCTAAATCCTGTAATATTAATTTATGTGTCCATTCCTGCATTGATGTAACACTTTTAATTACTGTAGCTTTATAAGGTTTAATATATTAAACATTTTGAAAAATATCTTGCATATTTTTATTGCTTATTTTTCTAGATGAACTTCAAGAAAATCTTTTCAAGTTTTTTTTTTTTAATCCTCCTAGAATTTTGATTGGGGTTATACTGACTACATGATTTGAGGAAACTCTCATATTATTATTCTTCTCCAGGTTTGTATCTTCTACATCCTTTAGCAAAGTTTTTCAAACCAGTCCTACAGTGTTCATTTCTTACTGGTTATTTTGCAGATTTTATTGTTCAAGGTTGTGGAATTTTTTTCAATTATAATGTAAAATTATGTTTAGTTTGTATTTAGAATAGGCAATTACTTTATCTTACATGTAGTCACTTTCCTGACCTCTTGTAAGGAACAGATTTTCTTTTGATTGTTGGATTTTTTTTGTTGACAATCATGATGTCTGTAAATAAGGACAGTTTTGACTCTTTTTTCCCCCAATATTTCTTCTTTTTCTTGCCTTATTCCACTGGCTTAGAAATTTGACTGATTGTAGTGGGAATCATTAATTATATCTTTGTAAGTCTCTAGTGGATTTTATTAGGTCAAGCAAGCTTCATTCTATCCCTACTTTACTGATAGTTTTTCACAAGATTGCCAAGATGATTACAGTAAATCCTCTTTACTGTATATGGTCTACATAAATTTCTTTAAAAAAATATATGAAGGGATCCCTGGGTGGCACAGCGGTTTGGCGCCTGCCTTTGGCCCAGGGCGCGATCCTGGAGACCCGGGATCGAATCACACATCGGGCTCCCCGTGCATGGAGCCTGCTTCTTCCTCTGCCTGTGTCTCTGCCTCTCTCTCTCTCTCCCTCTCTGTGACTATCATAAATAAAATATATATATATATATATATATATATATATATGAAGACTTTTTGTGACCTGTTAATATTTTTAAATCATAAATGTTTTCATTTATGCTGGAAAAATGTGAATTATCTGTTTAATTTCCATATGTAGTTATTAAAATAAAATCTTTTGATTGTTTATGAGAGTTTTATTAAAATTTCCCTCTATTAATGTAGTTTATATATTTCTTCTTATATTCTCACTTGAATTTCTCCTCATATTGTCACATATTTAATGTTTAGCTGTTAGATACATAAAGATTCTTGATGGTTATAACTTACTGGAGGGGTTTAATCAGCAAAATATAATTCCATGTTTACTTTGACTGAAAATCACTCCTAGTTTCACTCTGTGAGCATTTAATTGGCATATTTTTCATCAGCCCTTAATATCAAAATTTTTGTTTAGGTGTGTCTCTTGTAAACGGCTTATCACTTGATAATTTTCCTACCCAACCTAATAATCTCTTTTATAAGGTTAATTTAACATATTGACTTCAGTTGACACATTGACTTTAGCTTAACATATATTTGATATTTTCCACGTGCTATATTTTCTCCCATGTTTACTTCCTATCATCAGCTGGATTTTTTTTTTTTTTACTTTGTTCATTATGCCATTTTGGCATTACAATGGCCATTATGCATTTTTTTTTTCTGTTTAGGAGTTTTCAAGTAATCCATTCCATTTTTTTCTTACTTGTCCTTGAATTTAAAAAAACAGTTTTTTTTCTATAATGTCAATCATTTGTCAGTAACCTCCCTCCCAAACTAGATAAGATTATTAATATCCTTAGACCAACCCTAATATCCCCTGACCTCCCACACTTCGTGGATATCATCTGGAATTTTATTTATAGATTTTAAAATAATTTAATTTATACTGTGGCTCAATTTTTATGTGAATTTTATGTGAAGTCTTAATAACTGTGATAATCTTCACAATAACTTCTTGAAAAAATATTTTTCTATCAGTTTCACCATTATCTCTTTTAATTCATGTGTTCCTCTTAGTTGTATATATATATTTTATTTTCAGTATTCTTAAGTGGTATTTCCAGAAAGCATTCATGGTGGCAAAATCCCTGAGTCTTTTAATATATTAAAATGCCCTACCTTTGCACTCAAAATTAAATGGTAGTTTAGCTGGGGAAAGAAATTTAGGTTAAAAATAATGTCCTTTAGAATGCAAAAAAAAAAAAAAAAAAAATTTCCATTTTCCTTATTGCCTGGTAGATCAAATGGGAAATCTAACAACAATCTGAATATTGTTCCTTTAAAATCACCTTGTTTATATTTCATTGTTTAGAAGCTTTTAGGGCCTGTCTGCATTTATTTTTTTAGAGATCAGGAATTTCATGATATGCCTAGATGTGTTTTTTTTTTTCACATACATGCAGACATTTTACTAGTTTCCCCAACAAGAGTACAATAATACCAATTTTTAAATATAAATCTGAGGTCATCTGAGATGCCAACCAAATACAAGGAAGGAAAATAAAGGGAAATGCTTAATCAAAAGGCACTATAACACCACCTAAAATCTACAGTCACAGTAGTAGTAGGCTAAAATTAATCTATAGCAAAAATATCTAATATAAATGTGAAAAGATTGCATAGCAGGAAGTGGATTTGCTTTCCAGAACACTGGCACACTGATCATTTGGACCCAATAGGATATTTGTCCCGGAAAAGTTCAAGGCAATTAGAGGTAAAACTAAATCGAAAGTTGCAGGTACAGGGGCACCTGGGTAGCTCAGTCAGCCAAGCCTCCGTTTCTTGGTTTCAGTTCAGGTCATGATCTCAGGATCCCGAGATCAAGCCCTGCAGGGGGCTCTACATTCAGCAGGGAGTCTGCTTCAGATTCTCTCTCTCTCTCTCCCTCTCCCTACCGCTCTGTGGAAAATCCAAGATAAACAGTCTCCAAACAGATGGTGACAGATTCCTCTTGCTGCACTTTGCAGCTTCCTCTCATGATCCTACCCAGTGGCTGTTCAAGCTGAAAGCTGCTACTCTTGTCTTGGAGGGGGTTTAGCATAGATATTGGAGAACTTGTGACAAATGGGGGAGGAGCAGCCCAGAGGAGGGGGAATAAAAAGGAGTGAAGGGTGGTATGAAAAGGTAGTGGTGAGAGGATGGTGGATCAGATTGGCTGCAATTGCTAGTTATCCTGAGGCATTCATATGTAGCTTAAACTTCCCTAATCACTTTCAGACACCTCCACACAACACCCTCAAAATCTGAAATCAGTAGCTGAACTGCAGTGAGAGCTGCAAGGTTCACAAAATACTCAAGAATCCAGAATGAGACAACCCAGAGAGAAAATCCCAGCAATTATCCTCAATCTTTCTTCAATATAAGATAAACTCAAATATATCAGATGTGGGGTGCAGAAAGCCACAAAGTGAGCAAGCGGGTCTTCTACTGAACTTTCCCTCAAATTCCAAGAACAAAAAACAAGTGGCAGGGTATGTTTTCATTCTTTTTTTTATTTTATCTTATTTCATTTTAAAATAGAATGACCCGAGGTCGTTCTATTATAAAGGGACATGGCTGAATAGGTAGGAAACAAGACTCCCCATTGTGAATTCTTCTGATGGCTTCGGGGAGGATCATGGAGATGTCAATCACCTATATTTTGGAGCAGTGCTTCATCTTCTCCTCCTGAGGTTTGATATTCGTGACTACTACTGCTTCAAAGCATGTACTGTTGATGCGAGGAATGGCCGGGCCAGAAGAGATTCCGCGAGTCAAGATTCTGTGAGTCGTTGACTGTTGAGTCAAGTTTCCATGAGTAAACTCTGGTGGCTCCAGCTGAGAGAAGTTTGTCAGCTGCATGACAGATGGTGCCACAGGTGTCAGCCATGTCATCCGTGAGGATAGCCACACGGTTCCTCAAGGCTCCCACTAGCACCCTAAGGTCCACGTCATTGGCCTTCTTCTGTTCCTTGTGAATCAAGGCGAAGTCCACGTTCGACCTGTCAGTGATGGAGGTCACTCTCTTGGCTCCCCAGGGGCATCTGTCTGGTGAGACGACAGTGTAGTTCCTCCACTCAGAGATACTCTCCCTTATGCACTTGAGGACAGCTGGCTCTGCATGCACATGGTCTACTGGGATGTCAAAAAAGCCCTGAATTTGAGAAGTGTGTAAATCCAAGCATGTAAAGCCCTGAATTTGAGAAGCATGTAAACACATGGGGATGATATGATCTGCACCTGCTACAGACAGCATATCTGCAACAAGCTCGGCAGGTATGGGGGCTCTTATCTTTCTTACCCTGCCGGGCATAAGGGAAGCACGGGGTGACTGCAGTAACCCAGTGGGCAGAAGTGATCTTGCAGGTGTTGATCATGATCAACAGCTCCATTAGGCTGTCGCTGGTGTGGCCGCAGCCGCTCTGCACCGTGTAGACGTCCTCTCCTCGCTCACTTTTGCCCATTTCCACGCAGGTCTCCTGGTCACTGAATTTCTTGGTCACCAGCCTGCAGAGCTCCAGCCCCAGGTGGTGGGCAATTTCCTGGGATAAGTCCTGGTGGGAGCTGCCACCGAAGATTTTGATGTCTGGCATTATGGTCAGTAGGTCAGGTACTCGTCGTCCAGCGGCCACCGCTGCGGCCGGGACCACAGCCCCAGTCAGACCTGGGACGAGCCAAGGCCTTCGGGTTGTGCTGGTTCTGGCCACGAGCTGCTCCACGGTAGGAAAAGCTCCTGTTTCACACTCACTTCACACTCTGACAAAGTGCCCAAAATCAAGTCTTAGGCAGCCCCGGTGGCTCAGCAGTTTAGCACCTGCCTTCAGCCCATGGCATGACCCTGGAGACCCGGGATCGAGTCCCGCACCGGGCTCCCTGCATGGAGCCTGCTTCTGCCTCTGCCTGTATCTCTGCCTCTCTCTCTCTCTCTGTCTCTATGAATAAATAAATAAAATCTTAAAAATAAAGTTTGGAAATAGTATAAATAGACAGTTCATGGGGGGTGGGTGGGTAATAAACATACAAAAAATGCTAGTAACCAGGAAAATGCTAATTATTTTCACACATCAGACGCGCCAAATCTATGAGATAGATAACTCCACTATTGTAATAAAATGGGTAAGTGTGTAAGTTTTGCAAAGGAAATTTTCTTGTGTATAACCTTTGACTGGATGTATCTACTTCTAGGGATCTATTCAATGGAAATAATTGCAGGCATCCCGAAAATGTATTGATGGTGGTATTTATTGCTGTATTAATTCATTTGATCAATATTTCCTGAGGTAGTCCGAGTGTCAAGTGTTGTATCATTTACAGAATATAAGATGGTGAATGACAAATAGTAATCTCTCTAGAATTACTCATAATAGCAAAATCTGGAAAATAATGAATGTCCATTAACAGGTAAATTATCATATAATGTATTATATGCACATAAGCAGCCATTAAAGAAATTGACTTATGTGTAGTCATATGGAAATATCCCCAAGGTATTTCTAAAAAATCCAGTCAAAAAGATATGCATAATATGAAATTTACATATTTAAAAGTAATAGTCAAAACATCAAGTCATCATGGGGGTTCTTTTGTTGTGATTATCTTTGGAGAGGGGAGTAGTTTGGTGGAAGTTTGGGATGAAGGGCTATCACATTTTATTGCCATCTATTAATATAGTATTTGCACTTGCATTACTTATATAATGAAAAAAAACACTAATAAAATATATAAAATGATTAAGTGTTAGTAAATTTTAAGTACATAGCTTCTAAAGTGCATTGAGAGTTAGAGTAATGGGGAAAGAAATGGAATGCAGCAAAGATATGAGGAATTTCAAGAACAAACTGTGTCATAAAAATAATGGAGGCATCAGATATAGATCATACATTTTTATCTTGCTCATTGTGTGTCTGACATTTGGTTCTGAAACATTTTGATTTAGCCTAAAATCAACCATTTTTTCATATTTTGAAATTAGTAAATAATTTGCTGAATAGATTTTCTCACCCCACTTTTGAGCTCCCCCACTGGATTGGGTTCACAGATGGGATAAGCTCAGGAATTAGAGTAGGCAACAGAAATGGGTAAGATTTGGCAATGTCCATGAAACACACTACTTTGCTAGAAAAAAAGTGTTTTTATATCAAATGTGCTATTATTATAAAGCCATATAAACAGCCATGTCAAAAAGACCAATCAAAATGTCCTGCTGCTGATCCAGTCACATCTCCCCAACATCAACATCTCCCAGTCCTCAATTCAGACTCTTCGTGGTTGACAGTGCATGCCAGCTAATTTCTGTCCACAGCCCTCCATTCATGTTCCTTCCTATCATAAAATCAGCAGACCCATCTATACTATGTAATTCTCCTCCCCGGCCTGACTACATACAGTGATTTCTAAAGAAAATTCTGTGGCTTAATTTAGCAGCACTAAAAAGTACTTGCAGCTTCAATTAAAATGATTTTTCTCTTAGTGTTCTCAATGTGTCACACATTTTTCACTTTTTAAAGCAACAGCAAACAGATTTTTAAATAGACTTATTATTACCTAAATAGGACCGAATGCTAATGTAAACATTAAAAACACATAGTTGGTTGCATTTTCCTTGAGGTGTTAAGTAGGAGAAATTTTTGTCTTGCTGCTATTTTTGCTCCAAGTTCTGGCTGTTGCAACACCTTATAGTTCCAGGGATTTGTCTAAAATCATGAAATGTTAAAGATGGAAATGGCCTTCGAGACCTTCTAGTCCAACATCCTGATTCACAGACATAGATCTGAGGCCCAGAGAAATGAAGCAACTTGACTGGGATCTAACAGCTAATTAGAGGGCAGAGTGTGCACTAAAATGTGGGATTCTTGAATTTCCAAATAGGGTTTTTTTTTTTCACTATTTCATTTTTCTTTGAGGTTTATGAGAATGAAGGAAAAATTTAAAAGTCCAGCAGAAATTTTCGTATAAAAATGTTACTTTTTTTATTATCAAGCAACTACAAGGAACAAAGTCCCAAACCTGAGACTGGAAAACTCTTTAAAAAATTATTTCCTGAAATGAGCGATTGGTAGTGTCATGGAAATATTTTTATTACTCTGACATTTCTGTTACGTGAACCTATTGCAAGGGGATTTAGCTCCTGTTTACTTTGGTCTCTGTAGGTTGAGAAAGACATCTATTTTATCATTGGCTGTTTCTAACAAAAGTTACAGGTAGGAATGATGCTTATTGAAGAACACATTCTCTGTATTTAAGACATCATATCTGAATAAATTACTCTGGATAAATAAATTGTGGTATAGAGAAAATACCTATCTTTCTCTTTCCCAAGGCAAGCATCTTTAAATGTCATCTCTACAGATCTGTGAGCATTGCTATATTTTGAAGGTCTTTGAGTCAATACCCAGAATACATATATATATATTACCTTGGAAATAGTTTCTTGCTTTACTGATTATTCTTTTACCCTTCACAATTCCAACATAAATAATTCAAAGAGAGAGCCCTGATGCAGCTTGATCAGCTAAGGAGAAAAGAAATCCAGTCAATTCTTTTAGAAAGTGGAGAAAAACAGTTGTTGTATTTTAAGCAAAATAAATGCTTTCACTAAACATACTTGCAGTTGACAAAATGCTAGATGTTTAGGTGGCAATTATAGTTCTTTGATAAACTGTCAAATCTTGTCACAACACATGTTACAAACAAGGACAGATTTAGATGTCCTTTATGACAGCTTTGTGTAGGTTGAGAATGTTTGGCAGTTAATTTCAAACAAGGAACATATTTTTCTTTCCAGCAGTTATCTGCTTGTTTATTAGGAAGAGTTTCTTTGTGCCTTTAATCTTACTTGTTTGACTCACAGTTCCAGATCATTATTGTAACATTACCTTACCTCATTTATTTTGTTCATAATAATCATCCCCAATACTTTGAGAAAATTTCCCACAGAGTTTTACATTGGTAGAAATGCTTTAAACTTTGTAACTTTTTACAATTAAAGTTGAGTACTGTGTGCGTTTACTGAGCTTTTAGTTGGAAATCTGTCATTTTACACAATAGATGTGAAGATAGTGATTAGGTAAACAAAGCTCAGTGAAATAAATAGGAGAAAAGGAGAAAATTTTGTGATTCAGAAATGCCACTTTAACTCTGAGTATATTATTGTAGATGCATGGGGGTATTTTTGAAACGCTTTCAAATTTAAAAAAAACTTCGGGAGAACTTGAAAATCCTAGTCTGAGATAATAATCTTGGAATAAAAATGATGGTACATCTGCTGAATAATATATAATTGCAATGATAGATGAAGCAGTATATGGAGAGGTTCCATAATTAGTAAATTGCAAATAAGGAATATCTTCCTAATATTTGTGTGAAATATTTAAGTCTTTTGAAGCAGTTTTTGATGATGGATCTTTCTCTTCTCATATGGAATATTAGTTTCATGAAATTAGTGAAAAGATACTCATGTTAATTATATTTTGAGAAAACACAAGGTCCATTTATGCTATTCAAACCTACTTTTGACATTTAAGACATTTTATTTTTTCTTTTCAATTGTGACCATTTATTTAATCCCCATAATAAACTTTAAGATCAAAGTTGAGTGAGGTGTGGTTTGGAATGGTTCAGTGGTTCTCAAACTTGAAAGGCATCAGGGTATCTAGGAGGGACTGTTAGAATATACATTCCTGAGCCCGGTCCCTACAGTTCTAGGTTAGTAGGTCTAAGGTAGAGACTTAGACTTTGTGTTTTACTAAAATACTGGGCAATGCTAATGCTGCCCTTCTGGTGACCACACTTTTGAGAACCACTGGTTTATATCATCAACATTTATTTTGCCATTTGAGAAAATAAAAGGCATGGTTGGTTTATTATTCTTTGATTCATTTCTCTAGCTATTCTGATGTGGCATTTTAATTTTGCTTCTAGATTTTTTTTCTCTTCATCGCCTTCTATTCTGTGTATGAATTTTGTTTTGAAATATCACATAATTCTTTAAAAACTATAAACATACACACTTCAACCTAATATTTTGACAAGTACATGTAGGTTATGAACTCTTATTATTTTGGGGATTTAAAAAATCCATTAGGCATTTGCACATCTAAAAAGCAATTTCTACCTACTAGCCCAGTAAAAATTGAATGAAAATTAAGAGGCTCTCCTGTTTATGATCTAATTTCCCTTCCTTGAGTTTCTTAAAGTATTTGCCACTGAGAAAAATCTTCTGTCATACTCTGAAGACCATTTGGCTATTCATAGGGATACTTAGCATTGTATAGGGTAAATATTTGCTAGGTTGATTTGATGTTGCCCCTTGGGAGGAAGTCATTGTGTATTAGTTTATTTAAGAAAAATAAGCAAACACAAAATACTTTCTTCATCAAATATGTGTTAGAATGAGTAAAACCTTAAGGCCTCCCTATTGTTCTTCCTCAAGGATATACTGGCTCTTCTTATCCCTTCATACTTACACTCAAATTTTAGAATCAGCTTTCAAATTTCACTAAAATTTTTTAAATTTTTATTGGAATTGCATTAAATCTATGAATCAGTTTAGAGGGGAAATTGACTTTATCATATTAAGCTTTCCAATCCATGA